AGAACTTATCTAACGTGATGAACATGAGTGTTGTGTGAAAAAAAGCATTAAAATAATTAAATACTGTTTCAGTAAACAATTTGTTTCAAGTTATCTAAAATTACCACCCTAAATCAAAATGATCTACTTGTCTAACAACAGTATTATATTATTATAAGGTAAAAGATTAGACCCATCAGTTGTATAGTTTCTAGCAAATTATTTTGTATATACGTTACACAACTATATGAATATATGTTGCCCATCATAATTCGTTATATACATTAGGAGTGAGCTATGATATTTCTGTATTAAAACACAAAATATATCATAAACCTGTGTTGTTTCTGGGGCTTAGTTCTGATTAGATGATTATCTTTAATTTGAATCAAATTCACAAGCGTTATAAGCAAAGTTGGCTATATCGAGGCAACATGCAGAGTATGCACATATGCCAATTAGAGACTGATCAGTTGCAGTCCTTAACATCAATTGGAAGATTCAAACAAACAATATCAAGTGGACTTAAACTTCACTCCATTGCAAAAGTAAGCGGCTATCAGGACTCATTAGCTGAGTGGATAACGTGATGGTGTTTGAAGCGAAAGGTACTGGGTTCGAGTCCCAGAGTGAACATCAACTCCAGCTGACGAGTCCCAAATAGGACGAAACGCTCGTCCTGGATTCCACTGCTAGCCACTATCCATCTTTGCTTCATCAATCATTTAGGTGAATACGATAATGAATATTTTCAAAAAATATGGTTAGCATAATAAACGTAGTGAATAATATGTACAAACTCTTTCTATGTAACTGAAATCATCATCTTTAAGCACATAATATTGTTGACAGTTTGATCCTCATCCAGTTTTTTATATGTAATTATTTTTATAAATGCATATGAAAAGATATCGAAGTGATTAGAACAATTTGTGAAGCCATGGTAATTATTTTATAGATCATACGAGTTAATATTATTATTAAGAAATAAAAATATGAAATTAGGTGTACTAATAACTACAAGAATATCGAGAACAAGATAACATGAATAGGTTTCCAAACATGAACTCCTCCCCTAGCTCTTCTAGAGTTAGTGCTGGTACCAAGCCCACAAAAAGGACGAGGGTTGGGCATAGGGTTAGCGTCCCTATCCCGTAAAAAAACCAACTGGCTAAAACAATCGCTAACCAGAAAAAATAATTCAAGCCGTTTAAACTTTGCCCTAGGAGTTGAAGGAATAATTGTGACGCCTCATGATGAAAACCGAGATTTTTCGGAAGTCACGAGGCTGATGCACCTTCTAACGACCAGAGCAACACTCTTTATAGGTACATGGAACATCCGAGCAATGTATGAGACCAGTCAAAATCCAAACTTGGAAAAACAAACTTATTCAAATTATGATCATTAGAATTATACAAGAGTAAAGAAAGAACAAAATATAATTAATGTAATGGGGTAATGAAGGATAAACAGAAAAGAAGGGAAATAGTTATTTGGCCCTACATTTGGTAGGAAAACATAAGGGTATTTCAAACGTTTTACGAATACGAAGATCATGGTCGTTTAGTCGAATCCATGTAGCCTCAACTTGATTGAAGAGATAAGGAGTACTTTAGGGAGTATTTCTGATAATTCTGAATACTTTAGTTTTGTCAATTTAACAAAAGATATGTAGTGATCTTATTTGATTCATTTGAAACTATCTCAAGAAGATACTTTTTGACTAGTGGATTAAATTAATTGATTGTATGCCTCATATAGCTTTTAACATTTGAGCAGTTACACTAAAACAATAATACAAATTCTATTAACGAAATCAGGTAATTCGTTCCTTGTTCAATTAGATGATACCATTTGTTTATATATCTTTTCTCTAACTCCAAGTAAATTATTGATGATTTTAAGGATTATAAACATAATATAATCTATATTATCATATTGGATACAATAGATTAATCATCTCATATTACATAATAAACTAATCAGGATAAAGTCAATAAGATTAATTAACTCAGTTACATTTAGTCAGTAAAGGTAAATTATTTATTGTTTTTATGGATATTAATATTTACATTGCATAAAATATTCTAATTGTTGTGTATTATGGTGTCATGTTTGTAGATTGACTAAACTAATCAGTAAACAAAGATGGATAGTGGCTAGCAGTGGAATCCAGGACGCGCGTTTCGTCCTATTTCGAACTCGTCAGCTGGATGTACCTGTATCTCAGAGTTGATATTCACTCTGGGACTCGAACCCAGTACCTGTGGCTTCAAACACCATCGCGTTATCCACTCAGCTAATGAGTCCTGATAGCCACTTTGCTTTTGCAGACTGTTAATTTAACACATAAATAATGACAGGTAATATTCTTTGATCTTGCAAAATAAAATTTCTTATACTCAAAGATTTCTTAAAAGATTAAAAAAAAACAAATCATTCTTGGTTATTGAGTACCTTTCGCTTCGAACGCCAGGTACATCCAGCTGACGAGCCTCAAATAGGACGAAACGCGCGTCCTAGATTCCACTGCTAGCTACCATCCATATTTGCTTACAATGCTTGTGAAGTAAGGCTATATCGAGGCAATACGCACAGTATGCCCATACGCCAATTAGAGACAGACCAGTTGCAGTCCTAACACATCAATGAGAAGATTCAAACATACAATACTAAATGGATTTACACTAATCAGTGTTCTTTGAATTTCGATTATTTTTGAACTAATATCATATTGTGATGAAAAACATTATCAAGGATTAAGAAATATCTCTCCCCCCTGGAAAAATATTTTTGTGAACTCAACACTGATAATAACACATATATTTAATGTAATATGTATTTAACAGTAAACATGCTCGTGAACACCTCCCAGCGTGGCTAAACAAAAGTTTGGTGAAGAAAGTAAACAGCTCGATATTGGCCCATTTAGTACAAACTGGTCATAGTGCCAGTATAAACCAATCCTTTTCAATTATTTATAGGGTCTTTATGTTTTTGCCAAAGCTTGTCAGGCTTAAAGTCCTTCAAACGGCTGAATTATTAGCCATCAGGATAAAGAAATATCTCCAACCCCTGCTCCTCACTTGGCGAACTATAAGGCCAATTAATCGATAATAATCTTAGCTATTGGATGACCTAATTTGACTATGTACTTACCACCTTTCGTAGTCAAATGTAATTGTCTCTCTTTGTATTATTATTATTATTATTATTATTATTATTATTATTATCGATTAAATATCATTATTAATCTCCCCTATATATGATTCATTCACTTCGCATTGATCCCTCCTTATTACGTCTTACTAATTTTTCACACAATTTAATCTTCCACTTGATCGAATTGTAATTTGAGCTATCATATCTCTCTCGCCCTATCTGACCCATATTTATATTCTGATGACAGATCTTAAATTTTCGCTTAACATATATACAGATTCAAGCTAACTTTTTTTATGAGTCACATCAACATTAACCATTTTATTCTATTTGGTTTGACAATCCTAAATTTACATGCTTTAAACGATGTACTTTGCCTTTAATCTGGCCATTTTATCGGATTATTAATTTAGATAAGGATAGAACACCTAACCTTTAGGGTTTTCAGGGAACTCTCAAAATTTATACCACTAAGTTGGGGTTCAATGTTTTACATTTCTCATTCCTTGTTTACTTAGAGGTCTGAAGCTTGGGCTTCAATTGTGATGTATGAAGAACCTGGGTTCAGTCTCTTGCGGAGTCATGAATGTATAGCGCTAATGAGTTTCAGACTGGAAAGACACAACTGTCTCTGGCTCTATAATGTTTAGTCGTTCACATGTATATGGAAGCATAGGGTGTGAATAAAAATAAGTGAGTACAATACAAATAGATGAAGTTTATTTCGGAATTCTATAGCAATTGTTACGTTTCTCAGTTTTCTGATTCAGATAGTAATAAGTAGGCTTCCTAAAAACTTGCTCAACTTGTTACAAGAATAAAAAGACTGTCTTCGGCAATTGATTAGAAGTGTACATAACTCATCAGTGTGGATATACATCTGTACGTTAGATATATAAACATAAAACTTGGAAAAGTGCATTAAATAAGAAAAAGAGAATTCAGCGAAGAAAATTTTCTTTTCGATGAAATCATTTACTTAAGTTGTACATTTGTATATATAGTAATATGGAAAATAAATGTCTATAGGAGGCTAGAAAAGATTGCATTATAAATGGATTCATATCTGTCAATTGAACTATTATCTGACCCATAAATTATTTTCTTCCTTACCCCTTGATTAGTACGTCACCTCATTTGTTATTTATTGTCGAATCCATTTATAATGCAATCTTTTCTAGCCTCCTATAGACATATATTTTCCATATTACTATGTATACGAATGTACAACTTAAGTAAATGATTTCATCGAAAAGAAAATTTTCTCCGCTGAATTCTCTTTTTCTTATTCAATGACATTATGAGTTATTTTAGTTATCTAAAGTGCATTAACTTATTCATCCACCAGAGTACCTTGTTTTTCATTTTACACTTAGCTCTTAGTCTTGGGAACGCCTGTCTGTCATGTCAACTTTGCCTTAGTGATCGTAGTCAATTAAAAAAAACCTCGAGATATAACATTATATCATATTTACAACTAATTAGTAGACTATGTTTGCATTTTAGTCTAAATATCATTGTTATTACATGATTTTAGATCACGTTCGGATTATTTTTAAGCCATTCACTTGTGTAGCTTGAAATTCATTTCATTTCTTGATTGAGTAAATATTTCTTTGATAACTTATCAAAACCATGAATTCTATCACAAATTGCATTTCGATAGATTGTTTTAACAGTTTTTGTGAAAGTAAATTGTACCCATCATAGTTCATTTCATAACGGATCATTCTGTGAAGGACTGGTCCTTATGGATTATGTATATAAACAAACGAGTAAATAATACACCCTACTCATCTGATTTCAAGTAATCTCTTTGTTTTATAATCAGAATATACATAAATAACTAAACTTACATTCGATATTTAAGTTCACTTCTTCAGAAGATGCTAAACCCATAGAATTCTTAGCTGTACATTTTAAAAATGTGCCATCATCTTCATGAGTTAGAACATCAGATGTCTGTGTATCCACATAATTTGAAAATGGTTTCCATAATTGTTTACTATAATTTGAATTATTAAATGTGACTAGTTCCCGAATCTCACCATTAGAATATCGAATAAACCAGGTTACAACTGGTTTGGGATTAGCATGAGTAATAAGACAACTGAAATAATATAATTTTCCACTAATAATAGTAAAAGTCCTTCCCAAAGTATTAGAATAATTGAATAGTTCAGTATCTGGTGGCATAGTATCATCGATTCTTACTATTTCCAAAGGATACTGTGGAGGAGCTGTAAATAAAAACAAACTGTACAAATGCATTTACCAATGAAAATAACTAGAAAAACTTAACAGATACACATTTACAACGTGATTGATTGAACCTTAGAAGTATGCAATTTTAAATTATAAATTTCTTTTAATCCCACAGCGGGAGATTTACCAAAATATCTCCGATTATCAATTATTTCTTGTCGGAAGATGGGTCAGATAATTTTCACAAAAATCCGATAAACAGTTTATATTTATAGTTTGATAGACATAAAGTTCATCGAACCATTTGTTTAATATTGAAGTAACAAAATCTTCGTTTACTCAAAAACAGATTTATTTTAGGTACCTCTACTCTTGCTTATCTACCACTACAGTAGTGATCAACTCGAAAAATTCAGATACTAAATTTCTTTTTTTTCTGTAGTTTTTCGGTTTACAAGCGTTATGAACGGGCTGATACATAGTCAGGACGTTTTTGGTGTAAGGTATTCTGTCTTGTTGAACACAATTAATTCCAGTTAAAACAAATTACTTTATGGATTTTTGGTAGAAAATGATTATAATAATCGATAAACATTTCATAGTTTTGAGGAAGTTTTATTCTCTGGGTAGGAAGGGTTAATCCTGGAGATTCCATTATTTTTCTGAGCAAAATAATCAACAAAACATTTGGGTAGAATTTGATGATATTATAAGAAAGCAGTGAAAACTCCACATTTACACCATCTAATCTTGAGAAAAATCTCCACCAAAACCAATCAGCTGATTCCCAAAGCTTCTCTCTTATTCCAACATTTTATTGGTGAATCTTTGTCATCACTAAGTATTGTTGACTCAAGTATGTCAAACAAGGAAATATGGAAAACTGTTAATATTCCCAAGTCTAATATGCATCTAACTTTTCGGGAAAATAAGAAGAAAACATGATTTTTTAATGAAAAGTGAAATTATTAGTTATTACTGAAAGTACTATCCCTATGTTGTCTATTTGAGATAGTTCAAGATTCAACACTTAAATTGACTGGTGCTGTGTTTTGATTTAGGTACACTTTGTGTTTTTTAAAACTTACCAGTGTAAGCGGCTTTTTTTTCTATATTATATTTCATCCAAATTACCGTAAAAATAAATACTAATCATTGTCTTTTCAACCGGAACAGCGGTTTATATGACAAAAATAGCTCATATTTCAATTACCACATTCAACATCAAGCTATGATATCTTGTTTAGTGTATCAAGTCTAAGATATAGGTTAATCATGATCATAAATATCCAGGCTCATTTATTTATCCATTCATTTTCATTGACTTGGTCATACTCATGTATCAATGCCTTCATTATAAAAAATACCATCTTTGAATTATGCTGAGTATATATATGTGATCATTATGCTTGATTCTAAATCACTTTTGAAAGTTTCTGAAGAATTTCAGGATTTATTGTGGTTAAGCTAGAGACACTAAAACTCAGTGTAAAAGAGTTGTCCATCTTTTTGTGGAGGATATATTTAAAATGATATACAGTTTTTATATATATCAGATTTCTTATCTTCAAAAACACCAATTTTAACAATACAGTCGACCATGATATAAGTCAATTGGAGATCAATCAATCAGTGAAATTAATTCCAAATAGCGTGGATTGTTAGGAAGCTCTAAACTAAAACGAAGTAATTTTCTACTGATCTTCGGTTCTCAAAAGTTATGGATCTGTTGATAATCTGTGATAAAAGCTATTTGAAACGCTGCTTTATCCATAACTTTATTCAGTTGTCACATCTATGCATACCTATTATTGTCATTATTATTATTACATCGTGTAGCGAAGAGTTGACCCATATACAAGACTTTAACACAAGTAGTAGTAGTAGTAGTAGTAGTAGTAGTAGTTATTGCTGTTTCCGTCGTGGCCGTCATCTTCGTTGTCATATCTCACAGTGGTAACGACTATATTTAAATTAGTTCTGTAATCATATTGGTCTGATATTTATTGGTAATGAAATAATAGTCATATAAGTAGTCAAACTTTCAGTAGTTTGGAATAGAAATAATCATTTTTCCATAATTTAGTTAAATGTTATTATCCACATGATATTCATTAATTTGTTTATAAAAACAGAGAGGAAATAAAGTACAATGACTACATTAGTAGAAATGTACATTATTATTATTTTTAGTGACATTAAGATAAAATCTCTCTCTTAACTCAGTTGATCAACAATTATCATACTCTATACGAGTAACTAGATTCAATAATGGTGTGTCATTATACATAAAACTTGCTTATATATAGTGGAGTGGACTATGGGCATTAGTTCCATATAAAGATTTTTTTCCAAAACGGACTGGATAAACCAGAAGCTATGGGATGACTGCTTTATTCTAGCTTAGAGCTCCTCAGACTGATGAATTACAGTACGAATCGAACCTACTATCACCAGGTCTTGCTAAAAGTGTGTTAAATTTAGGTCACCAAATCGGAATCCATTCGTTCATAATTGTGACTACAATCAGTTAATGATAAACGTGACCTTCACTTGATGTCACTATTAGATTGCTCTTAGGTTGCTTTTTCCCTTTAATTAGCATACTGTTTTCCTCAATTTTACATTCTGTCACTTCCATACTCCACGTTCTTAGTTTGAGGCTCATACAAATCCCTCTTGAGCTAGCTACTACTAAGTATTCATAAATGATCTAAAGTTCTATGATGACGTAGATTCTTTTGTGTTATTTGAAATCTTCATTATAGAGAATAGCTATTTATTTTACTAAGAGAGATATTGTTCAATTAGACATTAGATAGAAAGTGTAGCTAGTTGAAATAATTAAGAATTCATAATTGCAAGTAGCTTAGATGAATAAATCACAGATAAACAAACAAATGGAAACATATTTAAACATGAAAAATTGTTAGATAACATAATTAATTTTCAAGACTAGAACTTTAAATGTTTCTACATTTGCACAAACAGTGAGGGACTGCTTTTATTCGGTAGCATTTTAGGACTATCTACAATCTATTCTCAAATCAATACAACATTAGAAAGCATCTAGTTATATGGATAAATATAAAGACTAAATTCATCTCTCTGTCTTACCTAGAATATTTAAGTATCCACGTTTATCATATGCATCTAAATTTACTAAAGTATGACATTGAAATAATCCATTCATATCTGATTGTAAATTAGTTAATGTTAGTGTAAATAACTGCCTTCTTTGAATAAGTTCAATATCATCTGTTGCTGACAATTTGTTAGTTGTAATTGGATTATTAAAAGATGATTGATTGAATTTATTATATATACTGTACTGATTAACGAATTCACATGTGTTAGGTGGTTCTGGACATCTAGCTAAATCATCATCCTTGTGAATAAAACTCCAAATATTTGGTGCCGGATCTTTGTGTGAATGTCGAAATCTCCATATTACATAGATACTATCTGATTGTTTCGGTTCAACAGGAATCCGACATCTTAAATATAGGGTTGAATTAATCGGTACGCTTAAATTGTTTGGCGGGTCGTACAGTTCAAGTTGTAAAACTGAATCGGGATTCAATTCATTAGCTGTAAAAGATAAGCGAAACATATATCTGTTATATAACTATGAATTTAAACCGTCAAATAAGAAAAACAGCCTTAGTCTACCCATGAGAAATTGGCTCAGTCATATAAATTTCTAACTGAACCCTTGTTTAGTCATTCATAATTTTTTCATTCACTGAACTTGTGTCAAAAGTATTTTATGGTTCTTTTATTTAAAAATATGATTATAGTACGAATATTTTTTAAATGATTCTGTGGTGTGTGTTACTGATGTCGACAGATATAAGTAGTCTGTGTCATCAGTCGAAAGTAAAATGCCACGAGGCAGAAGGTTAAGAAGACCGAATAAAAGGAAACGAGAACGAAGAATGATTGGTGCTGAAACGAAAGAAAGATGAATTCTGAGACTACTGATTGACATTTAGCAAATGAAGAATTTACTGTAAAGTTCTCAGATTTTATTAAGATGTTCTGTTATAGCAACTATCCTACAATCGATGAGAGTATGGACAATTTTGGCTAAGCTATTTTGCCAACTTACTTAACAGACATCGTCATTTGGATAATGACAATTTGCATATTCTTAGTATTGTTATGACCACTAGAGCACATAAAACTCTATCCAAAATGTTGATTGCTTAAGTATCATTCGATGACTCATACTCCTCTCCATATATGTACGCACGCAAATTCTATTATCAGCTTTTGTTTTGTTTTTCTGTGCCCTTATTCAATTTGACTATAAATTGCCTATGTAATTGCTTGCGTTTGCAGCTCTCTGCTCGCTAATATTTACTCATGTTCTTGTAACTATCTGTCCTACGTCATTTGTTAATAAAACTGTAGTTGCCACTTCTCTTTGCCTTCTGATTTTATGCACCGTTAAGATTGGTATTATAACGGTTATCGAAGTGATCTATTAACGGAACACGGCACTACACTGTAATTTTGTATTCAACTTGATTCGATTGCCCTCATTTGTATTCTCATTCACTACAGTTCATTTGCTGAGTTAATAAATTTAACAATGAACAACCTAGAACAACTAAAATAAATGGGAATCAGTTGCATTTTCGATCTTATTGATCTAATGGGTATCCACTATTGATTTGTATGAGTAATGTCGAACTAGTCATCTTGTTCATGAGAAGTCTTTCATGTTTATTATGTCCTTAACTTATACCATTGTCGCAAATACGATTGCCAAATCTGCATACACTGACTTGTACGACCAAACGAATGACGAATACACCAGTACGGGTAGCCTAGAGTTCCGATTGACCCTATTTCCGCCTAGTTCTACCCATTAAGTTCAGAAGGCCAATCTCAGACTTCGCGATACGAATCGTATATTTCAAATATACTGGGTTTATATACAAACAAATCCGACCACATCACACCATAAAATAGAAAATAGCATTTTTACAAGATGAAACCAAAAAGTGCCTGTGATTGTGAGGGACTGCTACTAATGAATTAGGGATATCTCAAGAACAGTATATTGTGTGGTAATAGTCAATAAGTCAAATAAAAGCTTATAACGAGTGAAATATGAATATACATGTATTATAGGTATATTATTAGTTCATAAGTAATTCCTATAGGTTACCATTTCATTTATTCTTGTCCGGATATAACTATGTTCGTGTTTTTAATTATGTCATACTTACTTACGCCTGTTACCCCTCGTCGAGGAGCATAGGCTGCCCACCAGCATTCTACATCCAACTCTGTACTGGGTAATCCTCTCCAGTTCTTTCTAGTTGTTATTCATCCTTTTCATATCTGCTTCTATTTAACGATGTAATGTGTTCTTTGGCCTTCCTCTTTTCCGCCTCCCTTCCGGATTCCAAGTTAGGGATTGAGTCGTGATGCACATTGGTGATTTCCTTAATGTATGACCTATTCACTTCCAACGTCTTCTCCTAATTCCCTCTTAAGCTGATTTGTCTTCTCCTATAAAACGCTGTTGCTGATAGTATCCGGCCAATGGATGTTGAGTATTTTGCGTAGACAACTGATTATAAATACTTGTACCTTCTTGACGATTGTTGTAGTAGTTCTCCACATTTCAGCTCCGTACAGTAGGACAGTCTTGACGTTCGTATTGAAGATTCTCACTTTGAAGTTAGTTAACAGTTGTTTTGAGTTCCATATGTTCTCCAATTGTAGAAATGATACCCTTGCTTTGCCAATCCTCGCCTTCACATCTGCATCCGATCCTCCTTGTTTATCAACGATGCTCCCCAGGTACTTGAATGTTTCCACCTCTTCCAGAGTTTCGCCATCAAGTGTGATCGGGTTGGTGTTCTCCGTGTTGTATTTGAGAATCTTGCTTATTCCTTTGTGTATGTTGAGTCCTACTGATGCAGAGGCTGCTGCTACATTTTCTGTCTTCGTCAATTATGTCAGAGGTTTTTTAAAAATTCATTTTCGAAAATTAAGACTTCAAGGAACAAACATAAGTTATCTGATTATCTCATTGCTATCTCCTAATGCAAGTTAAATAAACAAGATAGTTTTCTCTATACATCAGAAAATAGAAAAGGATTATTTAAGTGGGTACTTTAAACCGTTCATTTTGATAATAACCATACTAAAATAGGTGACTTTGCTGAAATCTGTCTATTTTTATTTTTATTTTTCGTTATATTGAGGAATAATTTATTTTGATATTAGGGTAACCGTAGTATTCTAAGCCCGACTATAAATTTAATTAATGATGGTTACTGATATAGACACATTATCAAGGAACAATTAATATTCGATTCCTTACTGATATACAAAGATTATTCACTAATTATATTTAGCTGTTGAATAATTACCTAATAGAAGTTATCATTACCTTTCTGATTAGTATTTTACAATACTATATTATGGATATAAGTAGTATTTGTCTAAATAAAAAAATCAGTCTTTACCATGTTTTTTATTATTTTTGTTTTTCTACTTTTCATTGAATCAACTTAAACTGTACATGTAGGTTTGTATCTAATTACATGGTATTTGTGTAGTTGATTAAAGCTGAAACAGGGAACAAGTATTTGAAAAAGTAAAAGTATTTCGAAAGTATACAATATTTTAAAAAATCAGAAATGTTCATTAAAATTGATAATGGACTGATAAGAATAATAAGTATGTCAGAGATAAATAAAACGATAAAACCATACAATTTAATACCTTCCCCCACAAAAAAAGAGCGAATGAACAGTAATGCATTCACTTGGTATTATTTGTTTGAATCTTCTCAATGATGTTTAGGACTGCAACTGGTCAGTCTCTAATTGGCATATGTGCATACTTTGCGTATTGCCTCAATATAGCCATCTTTGCTTATAATACTTGTGAATTAAGGCTATATCGAGGCAATACACACAGTATGCACGTATGTCAATTAGAGACTGATCAATTGCAGCTCTAAACATCAATGGGAAGATTCAAACAAACGATTTTAAAATTCACTCCATTGCAAAAGGAAGTGGCTATCATGACTCAGTAGCTGAGTGGATAACGCGATGGCGTTTGAAGGGAAAGTCACTGTGTTCGAGTTCAGGAGTGGACATCAACTCTGAGATGCAGGTACATCCAGCTGACGAGTCCCAAATAGGACGAAACGCGCGTCGTTAATTCCACTGCTAGCCACTATTCATCTTTGTTTGTTATATCTCAATCTTTTCATAATTAGTATGGTTTTTAATTAAGAATAATAATTAGGAACTGGATACTTAAGATTTTCACCATAATTTTACTTAACTGTCTTTGAGTAATGTAGCTCATTGTGGGTTTCAGTATTTAAATATTTGAAATAAATTAAAATAACTTTTTTCACATTGTCGTTTATCAAAAACTAAGACAATCAAAACAAAATCAAGACTTCTGAGGAGTCCCACAATAGGACGAAACGGCCGTCCAGTGCTTCCAGGTTTTTCATGATGGTCTAGCTTCAATTGACTAATGATTTCAACTTTAAAAAAAAAAATTAATTCTTTGAAATAAAACCTCAGTAAAGCCAATGTTGCATATGTGAATTTAAAAAAAACTTCTATTATCATGAAGTAATAACATTAATGAAAGGTATTATTTCATGAGAACATTTATTCCCAATATTTCAGATGGTTATTGGTATTTGAATGGATCCAATGAATTTATGCTTTCTTCTACAGTATTTCACTTATCAAGTAATAATAGTCATGACACAAAGATTTCACCGATGTGAAGTTAATCTTTGTTAGAACTGAGTGTCAACAAAGATATCCTAAATATCAAATACAATTTCATCGGAATAAGCTACATATTTAAAGTACAAATGGTTCTCACTTTACAAATAAAATTTCTTGTAATCAAGACCCTATATATTACATTACATAAATATATGTAATTGTATATGAAGATAAGTGAATTTCTAGAATAGCCTTATTAAATTCTCCATTTCTCTACAATGTAGCTTTCTATACGTCAGTTTATATTATTTAGATAGATTTATAAATTATTGGCATAGTTTATTAAAGTATCTTTTACATAGCATGTTTAATATGTAAAAAAATGATCTCTAGACATCCGTATATTTGTCAATTTATGTAATAATTAGTATATATATATATATATCCTCACATGTAAGACCTAATACGCTTGAATGAAAGATCAATAGTCACTTCAACCAAGTGTAAAGGATCTATGAGTTTATTACTAGTGTATGTTGAAAAACATACTTGTTCTATAAGATGATTACTTTGTAAATATATAGTTCAGATGCTTAGTAATGATACTTACACCGGTAATAGATTATAACTAATAATATCTATGCAACTTGTTGACTAGAATTAATTATAAGTAGTAAATAAAAACTAATAAATTTTAAGTTTATACTGGTTTTATAAAATCTAGTCTACCTCTTTCAGAACTCTGCCTGTTGTTCTTCTAGGACAACTGCCAGTCCCAAGCCTATACAAAGGAGGAGGGTTAAATATGAGGTCAGCAACCTCACCACGTACAGAACAAGCTTGTTAAAAATACGCTAGCTA